ATTTCCAGGAGAATGAAACAGAGGAAGTATCGACAGCTACAGTATGGGAAAGTCATAAGGTATATATAAGAGGAATCCTGATTGCGATGGCAAGCAAGGAAGAAAAAAGAAAGAAGAGAGAGGGTTAGTGGACTCTTAAAGGAAATCCTGGAATTGGAGCAGATACACAAGAAAAAAATAACAATAGAAACAAGACAGAAGTTAAGGGATAAAAAAGACGAATTAGAGAGATTGATGGAAGAGGAGAGGAGAAGAGTATATAATAAAGTATTAAGTGAAAGATATAGATGGGGTGATAGACCAGGAAAATACTTAATGAGAGCCCTGAATAAGAAGAAGAACAGGAATTATATAGAAAAGATAAAAAGCCCTAAGGGGGAGATGGTCCACTCAACTAAAGAAATTATTAAAGTATTCACGGAGTATTATAGAAAGTTGTATAACATCAGCCACCAAGGATCACCAAAAGAAATTAGGGAAGGTATTAATGAAAAAAGGAGGACATATTTAAAAAATGCGGGATTGCCAAAGCTTAGTGAAACACAACTGAACTCCTTGGATGCAGAAATTTCTCAGGAAGAAATAGAAGCAGCATTAAGAAGTACAGGGGGAGGGAAAAGCCCAGGCCCGGATGGTTATACAGTTAAGTACTATAAAAAATTTAGTGAAGTACTGTTACCAAAGTTAAAGAAATATATGAATGACTTGACTTGGGAGGTGGGATGGAGGGGAGGAGGGAATCCCTTCAGGCCCATGTAGTTCTCATCCATAAGGAGGGAAAAGATCCCTCTCAGTGCTCTAGCTACAGACCAATTTCATTATTAAACACTGATACTAAGTTGTACGCAAAGGTCCTAGCAAACAGGCTGAAAGATCTAATGCCCGAATGGATTCATGGAGACCAGGTGGGCTTTGTTCAGGGGAGAGAGGGTAGAGATAATGGCTTGAGAACTCTGATGCTTATCCAGAAAAGTAGAAAAGGGAAAGCCCCGGTAGTGCTCTTGTCAATTGATGCCGAAAAGGCGTTTGATAGAGTGGACTGGGGCTTTATGATGGACAACTTGGAAGTGTTGGGGATTGGAGAGAGAATGCGTGAATGGATAGGTAAACTATATAAGGAGCCCACCGCAATCATCACGGTAAATGGGGAAAGGTCGGAATCCATTGGGATGTCCAATGGAACAAGGCAAGGATGCCCATTGTCCCCCTTGCTGTATGTATTGACATTGGAACCCCTGCTATCAATAATAAGGAACAGTGGAGCGGTAAAGGGAATCCAGATAGAAAATATAGAACATAAAGTAGCGGCCTTTGCGGACGACCTACTGTTTTATGTAGGCAACCCCCGAATAACACTACCAAATATAATGAAGATCCTGAAGGAATATGGTGAACTATCTAATCTAAAAATTAACCCAACAAAAACTGAGATTTTGAACATTAATATACCAAAGAGCGAAAAAGAAAAGCTACAAAAAGAATTCCCCTTTATTTGGAGAGAAAAAGATATAAAATACCTAGGAATAAAACTTGCTACCTCATATAAACAACTGTATAGATTAAATTATATTTCTCTGATAAATGAGATTAAGGACGAACTAAAAAGATTAGAAGGAGGAAATCCATCATGGTTAGGACGTATGAACCTAATTAAAATGGTAATTATACCTAAAATACTCTATAGATTTCAAATGATCCCGATCAAACTCCCAGAGGCGTTTTTTAAGATAATGAGAAAAATGTTAACAAGATATATATGGAGGAATAAAAAACCAAGAGTATCATATGAAACACTAAGTAGGACTAAAGAGAAAGGGGGGATGGGACTACCTGATGTCAAGAGATATTACAAAGCAGTAATGTTAGCAAGAATTTATGACTGGACTTTTAATCATAAGGGGAAAAGTTGGGTAAAAATGGAAAATGATCTGAGTGGAATTAATTTGAGTAGGATGATATGGGTTCCAGCACATTATAGAAGAATTAAAGAGGGCACAAGCACTTACACCTTAATTGTCTTAAGGATATGGGATAATTTACATAAACACATGAAATGGGAATTCAACTCTATATTAATGCCTCTTGCAAACACAGAGTTTTTCCCCCCAGGAAAAGATGAGATATCAGGAGAGGGAGATGGTTTAAAAAGGAAGATATCCAATTGAGAGACATATTGGTAGAGGGGGAACTGAGAACATTTAAAGAATTAAAAGAGATGGGAGGAGATATGTTTACTAAAATAGATGAGTGGAAATATCATCAATTAAAATGTTTTATAGGAACTCTCCCAAAACCCTTGAGATTAAAAAAGGAGTGGAATATGTTTGAAAGGCTATTAGAAACACGTAGAGATGGGAAACACGGTGTTACAAAAATGTATAGAATACTTACAGAACTAGACACAGACACAAAGTTAATTTTCATAACAAATTGGGAAAGAGATATGGGGGTGGGGATAGATGAAGATCAACAGAATAAGATATTTAGATTAGTTCACGAGAGTGTTAGTATGAGAGACGTTGAGATTAACTATAAATGTTTGACACGATGGCATATTACACCGAGCACTGAGCACAGGATGAGGGGGGAGAATTCAAAAATGTGTTGGAGAGGATGTGGGGAAGAGGGCACGGTGTTTCACATATGGTGGCAATGTCCAAAAATTCAGGTTTTCTGGAAGACAATAGTCAAATTAATAGAAATAATAACTGGAAATGACATAGGATTAGACCCAACCATGTGTCTCCTACATAGTGTTGAGACAACAGTAAATAAATATAAAGAATCAGGTGTATGGTACTACTTAAGTGCAGCAAAAGGGTTGATCCCCAAGTTTTGGCGGAAGACAGAGGTACCAACGGAGGAGGATTGGATCAATAGGGTAAACCAGATTAGCAGAATGGAAAAATCTTATCATATGCAGGAAGACAGGATGAAAATATACTATTCACGATGGGAAAAATGGGAAAAATCGGGATTGAAAGAGAAATATAGAAAACTCTAAACTAGGAAGTTATTCGAAGTTATTGGGCCTAGAGAGACTGGAGATCTTGCAGAGGGGGAGGGAGGGGGGGAAGGGGGGGAAATGGTGGGTTGGAGGGAAGGGAAATAAAAGAGGTAAATAGAAGGGACAGAGTAGAAATGTATTGATATTTATATGTATTGTGTCTCTTCTTATGGAAATTTTGTAATAATGTGAAAAATTAATAAATATTTAAATTAAAAAAAAAACAAAAAACAAAAAAAAAAAAACAAGGAACGCCCTAACTTGGTGGATTTCCAACCCAACCTTGGAAATGGGGAAGGTTCTTCTCTGCTTATGGAAGATGATAACAACAGTGGTCAATCTCACAAGCTGGGGAAGAGTGTTCTAATTTCTCAAAGAGGGAAACATGGTCCCTAAGGGAGTCAAAGCTCCTTGTCAACATCCTGGAGCTCAAAGCAATAAAATTAGCTCTGCATCACTGGATCCCCCTTTCTCATGGATACTCAATCAGGGTGCCATCAGACAATGCTATAGTAGTGGCCTATGTCAGCCACCTGGGGTACCAGGAGTCAAGCAGCCTTGAAGTAAGTAAATATGATTCTCCACTGTCCAGAAATCTCTGCTGTTTACATTCTAGGAGTGAACAATTTTCAGGAGGGTTTCCTCAGCCACGACCCCTTGGATCGGGGGAATGATCACTTCATCCTGACATCTCCGATCTCTTATGTCAGAAATGTAGATATCCTAGCCTCTAGGTTTATCAACAAGTTACCTGTGTTTGTGGGCAGAGGCAACGATTCTTTAGCACTGGTGTCAGATGCCCTGGTAATTCCCTGGACTCCATAATAAATGCCCTTCCTCCAGTGTGGATCTTTTTGTGATTGCTCTACAAAACAGAGGAGGAGAAAAAACTCAATGATTTTCATTGCACCCAACGGGTCTAGAAGAAACTGGTACACAGATACACTCAGACTGCTAAAATATAATACTTGGCCTTTTCCAAACTGGCCAGACCTATTCTCTCTAGGCACCCTGCTCCATCCTGTTTCCCAGTTACTGGCTTTAATGGTATGGCTGTTGAAAGCCAGGTATTGAAGAATACCTGGCTTTCATGAAAGACAGACATACTACTGTAACGGGAAATCATATTTCGCCTGGTGTGAACTTTGTTTAATCCCAAAGATTACTCTTTACCTTGTATTCTGGCCTTCCTACAGTCAGAATTTGGCCTTAGGTACTCGTGAGGGACAGGTTTCGGCCTTATTCCTCCTGAGCCTCTGGCCTCACTTTCTTTCTTTAGTGAACCATTTTTTTTTTCTTCTGTTTTCATACTAACTTGCTTGACATATAATCTAGTTGACGCCAGGATTATAGACTTTAACAGTGCCCACTGATTACTTACTCCTGTCGTTTTTCTCCAACCTTTCAATTCATTTTTTAGAAATTCACCCATTTTAGCAAAATTCGTCTTTTTGAAATCTAAAACTTTTGTTTTTGTATATGATTTTACAGTTCCTATTTTAATATTGAGCCAAAGACATTGGTGATCACTAGAACCCAAATTTTCTCCCATCTCAACATTTGACAGTTGATCCCCATTTGTCAGTACCAGGTCTAGAATATGATCACATTGGGTTGGACTTTTTTGCTAACTGTTTTTTAGAGAAAGCCCATTCAGAGCTTCCATTACATCCCTGCTCCTGCTTGTAATTGTCAGGAATGGACTCAGCACTGGTGGTGGGACTCACCTGCCGTGTGGGCTGCAGTACCAGGGCTGACCAGCAGGTGCTCTCAGCAGTCAGAAGCTCACTCCTGCAGTCAGCCAACACCTGCGGCTGATTGCAGGAGGTGTATTTAAGGAATGACCAGGCCTGTGATCAGTGCCTTGGTGTATGTTTCCCCATAAGCCCCTGTACCTTGTATCCTGTTCCTCTGCCCATCTGATTTGTTGCCGACTCTGCATTGTTCCTGACCCTGCTGACCGTCTCCTGTTTAACCCCTGGCTTGCCTGACCATCCTTCTGCCTGATCCTCTGTACCGTGCTGGCTGTGAGTTCCTGAACCCGGCTTGTGACCCTGACTATTCTCTGCCTGCTCCTTTGGTACCTCGCTGCCCACACGTTGCTGACCTGGCCTGCCTGACTATGCCTTACGCTACCCAGATGATCCATCCATCCTGCACGGATCCAGCCATCCCTGCTCACACCTTCTGCCTCTTCACATCAGGCTTCCTACCTGCATATACCTCTGGCGGATCCCTCTACCACGAGTAGGTGTACTCAGGGGCCACGACCTGGTTCCTGTCTGCTCCAAGTCCATCCCCAACATCAGGGGCCCTGGTGAATAAGCAGACTGGGACTTAGACTCCGCGCCCTGGGGAATCCTGTCCTGAGGACTGCTAGGGGTATCACCAGCCGGTCGTTAACAGAACCATATGGCCGGCCTGACCCTTCCACCTCTCCAGCCCTGACTGCGCCTGTGTTCCTGCACATACTAAGATTAGTGGAAGGTTGGTTTATTTACTGAGCGTTGTATATTTGGGTAGCTAATAATAAATTATATTATTATATTATTCCTGAAGCCTGTTACTTCCCTGTGTCAGTCCACACATTTCTGGTCATACTCGGATCTCTGACAGTAATAGTAGTTTAAGAATTCCAGTTAATGTCAGGCATGTTGAAGTCACTCATAATCAAAACCTCCCCCTTCATTGTCGTTTGAGTTATCTTGTCAATCAAAAAGTTATCATAATCTTCAGTCCATCCTGGAGGTCTGTATAATACAGCAATTCTACGGGAAGATCCCTCTCTGGTTGGAAAGCAGACCCAGAGGGTTTCAAGCGTTTAATTTGTTTTTTGAATTAATGTTAGCCTTATGCTATTTTTGACATATATGGCAACTCCACCTCCCCTCTTGCCTACTCTGCCTTTCCTGTATAGTTTATACCCTGGTATAGTTATTTCCCAGTCATTTGGATCCTGTAATTGCAGCAGGGCCCAAGTTGTCCCTAGACATAAGAGCTGTCAGCTCACAAAGCTTGTTGCCTAAACTCCGAGCATTAGTGCACATGACATGACAAACACTGCTATCTACTGCTTTATTTTTATCACCAGAAACTTTAACTGAAATGACCCCATCAGCCCAGTCCTTAGCAACACAAACCCTCACATTTGTTTTTACATGTGGGAGACAGAAATGCTCCTCACAAATTAAATCTCTGCTCCCATTTCACAGTTTAAATGCATGTCCAAAAAACTCCAAACTAAGAAGCTCAGCGCCCTTGTGTGAGGGATGCAGATGATCTCTTTTGTACAGCTCAATGTCAGACCAGCTGATAGCATCATGACCTTCAGCTTTGCACCAATCCTTTAACCAAACATTGAACTCTGCTGTACGAAGTACTTTCTCTTGTCCATTATTCACAGGTATGACCTCCAAAAATGTTACAGTACACCCTAACTGTTGGAGATCCTGTCCCAAATACTGAAACTCTGTACAGAACACACATCATTCTGGGACAAATCATTTGTGCCAAGGTGCATGGCAACATCAACATTACACTCTTCACTAGCTTTTTTGACAATTTTTAAAATACACCTTTTATCTCTCCTAACAGTAGCACCAAGTAAACATCTAACTTCCTTTGACACGTCCACATGATTTCCTAAAGAAACACCTTTTACAAATGAATCACCAACAAGAAGATGGTTTCTCCTTTTAGGAGCCTTTTCCACAACACTCTCCTGGAACAAAACCGTAGATAAAACAGTCACTTTTGGCAAAGCAATTTTTTTCTCAGGGCCCTCTTTCCTACGCTCAGAATCAGCTACGTTTGCAACCTTTGTATCTGCTTCTAGTTCAGAAGGAACACTATAGGAGATATGCAGTGTCACACCAAAAGCTACATGTTTATGGTCCACAGGCCTCACTCTTCTTGACCCAACAGTTGTCCACACTGCCCTTCTCTTGCGCAGTCTTTGAGGAAGAGGTGGCTTTTTGTAGGGCAGCACAACAGAACAAATTGGCTTAGATAGCCTCCTGATCTCAGATCTTTTCCTCTTTTTCATTTTTAAGCTTGCTGCTCCTGTGACCTTAAAGCGGTTTCAATGTCAAAAGGTCTGTTACTTTTATGCATTCTTTGCATTAAGGTTAAAAAAAAAATGTCCATTAGCTGCCCCCCCCCCACATTTACTTTGGTCCTCTATTGATCCAGCAATTTGCCCAGCTGCTTCAGCTATTCCCCCCCCCCTGCTTTCACAGGCTTCATTAAAACAGTGGGAGCCTTTGACTCCTGCTGCTATCAGTCAAATCCTGTGAGAAGGGAGTGGGGATAAGGACTGAGGTGTGCTGCGTGTCTATGGACGCACACAGCACGGCTTGGGAGTGCACTCTCACATATGCCTCCATAGCACACAGCTTGCTATGGGAGTACACACAAAAGAGGAGGAGCAGCCAGGGACCCCAGAAAAGGAGGCAAGGGCCACTCTGTGCAATACCATTGCATATAGCAAGTAAGTGTAAACCTCTTGTGTATTAAAAAAAAAAAAAAAAAACCTTACACCCGCTTTAACCTCCCTGGCGGTATTCCCGAGTGTAGCTCGGGGTAAAGTTTTAGTATCAAAAGCGGTAACCCTGAGCTACACTCGGGCTTACCATGCAGCGTTGCATAGGGAGTCCCTGCAGCGCTTACCTTGTCCTTCGCTCCCGCGATGCGTCCCCTGCAGCGTCCCCGGCCATCTCCTCCAGATGATGCTGGCATCCGGCTTCTGTGTTCCGGTCCCTGTGACGTCAGGACGTACGGGCGCCGGAACCGGCGGCAAATTTGAAATTTTTTAAAAAATGTCATTTTTTAAAAAAATTATTATTACATAGCAAAACATTGCTGTTTCAAAACATTTCACATACATTTTGTCCCTACTGCTTTGTCCTGTCCCCTACCTGCATTTTGACTGTTCTTTCTGCCTGGAAACTTAGAAAAGTCCATGGCGTCCAAAAAGCGTCCCTTTATTTCAAAAGCGGTTTTAGACCGGCTAGAGATCAGCGATAGTAAATCAGAACCACTTGCAGAATTGAGTGATAATGATTCGTGAGGAAATTCATCATCAGACACTGAAAACGATTCTGCGACTTTGCTCAGCGATGTGTGAACTTGGCGCTATATTTCAAATTTCAGTGTTTTTGGTTTGATTATATTATTTAATTAAATTTTTATTATTATTATTTTTTATGATTATTTATTAAATTATAATTTATGATTTTGCGTTTCAAGTTTTATCATACCCGGGATGTTTACTAGACTCTTGTTCAGACAGATTTCAGTGAGTTATTATTAAATTACAGGCCTACAATAAAAAAAAAAAAACATATTTCCATGCAAAAAAATGGTACCGCTTTCAGCATCAAAAATCTGAAATAATCATACCGCTAGGGAGGTTAATACAGCTAAACGAAAAAAAAATTTTGACTAGGGAAAAGGTGTACAGACACAATTAAATGTTCAATATTACAGTTAGTAGCCAGAAAAACCTCTTCTGTGCCACACTTGTATATGTAGATACATTTTGTTACTAGAGCCTGGCTCTACCTGGCTTTATGACTACATGACACCAACTGCCTTTCCATTGTCTTTACTAGCCTTGGCCTTGAGTTGGTATAAAGGTTGAAAATTATGGACAATATTTTAGTATTGATAGTCTATAGGTCCTCATCTAAATTATGTGGAGTGCTTTAGGAAATTGCTTTCGGAACAGAATTGTTAATTCATTCTAATTAAATTCCGTATTCTATCTCTTTCCTCTCCTCTGTAATCGATGGAATTATTTTCATTGACCAGTGTACATTTGCAGGTTATTTGAACGGATTTTCCTCTCAGTCGATGTATTTCTGTCCTGTTAAAAGCAGCCAGCCTGGAGTCTGTCAATGCATTGCATACTGGGAATACTGTACCTCTTGTTTCATATATATATATATATATATATATATATATATATATACTGTGTATATTGGAAGCCGTAAGTTGGTTCTGTGATTGTGTAGAGATCTTGCCCACCGAAAATGAAATTTCAGTCAGAGATTAATATTTGTTCAAAGTCCTGAGTGCCTTTTCTAAAAGAAGGTGACACACCCAACTTGCCTAATTTTGTGTACTGTAATATGGGGCCCCTTTCATATGGTCAGTGTGATTTTGACCCTTGATGCAACAGATAAAACACAGACTTCAATGTAACCCAAGAGGTGGTCTTAAATGTATGCCGTGTACATCTGGGTCTGTAAAGGTTCATCAAACTGAACACCTGAAATTTTCGCTCAGGCCCTCTGTTGCATTCCTGACCAGATGTGGGTGGATATTTACATCAGGCTGCCTGTAAGGAATAAATAAGTCTGTTTTTCTATCACAAGATGGAGGAAAAAATGGAACATATGGGACATCTGTTTTTGTTCCAATCCATCTGATACTGTAGATGAAAATGCAGTGTCTGAGTATCAGGATAGCCAAGACCATGCACAAAGGAATGCCCATGCTCAAAGGAATGCTCATGTTCATAGCAATGGCCATGCTCAAAGGAATGCACAAGTGCACAGAATGGTCCATAGAACTATGCACAGCATTTGGACCCTGCCCACAACTACATGAGCACATGAGCATTAGCATTCTGTTTGTGCTCATGTGTATGAGTGTGCTTGTTTGATGGACTTTGGCACCCTGTGGCCTATTTAAAGCCTTACAGGACTCAGGTTCCTTGCTGAGTGGTCATCAGCTTCTTCTGCTTATGACCTGATCTGATGTTCATCCGTATTCTGACCCGGCTTGCTGATCCTGCTTGTTCCTGAACCTCTGTTGCTGACTCTGGCTTGTGACCCGACCCTGCTTCCTGCCTGCCGTTACGGTACTTCTTCTGCTTGCCTGATGCTGACCTTGGCCCGGCTCTGACTCCTGGTTCCTGACTCTGTGCTCCTGCTGCCAGTATGTTGCTGACCTCTGTTTGTCTGACTACACATCTGAGATCCAGTATCTACCCACTGACAGTTGGCCTGCTTCAGCTTTGCATCTGCTACCAAGATATTCCGAACCAGATTTCCTGCAGGCACATTTGCCACTTTGTGTCTTGTCACACCCAGTCATCATCTCCAGGGGAAACAGGAGAAAAGGTGTAGGGGTAGCCCTCTCGTCAACTCAGTTTTGACTGGGTACATGACACTGAGAAACAGAGGCTATTTTTGTATTGTAGCCATAGAAGGTTTGTAAAGCTGACATACATGTACAGATTCCTTTCATTCATCTTGTGAGCTGAACAAAAAAAAAACAGATTCCTCCATCTGTGCTTTACAACATGGATGGACAAATGTCCCTCTGTGGCTGCTGTATTCTGCTGTATTTGAACAGTGACTGCATCTGATTGGATGCATTTGCTGTCCTGCCAACAGTTTTCCTTCCAGCTCCTTCAAATTTTAGCTAGAAGAATATCAGATGGAGTGATGCCTGGGGAGCCACCGATCCCATTGATCGAATTTCATCAGTTTGTCAAGATCTACCTGAAAATCGCTCAGTTTATGGCCAAGATATGGCTATTAGGCTTTTCATTTGTTTATTTTTAACTACACAGCAATTAAAATTGAATTTAGTCAGCATCTAGTAATATCACTTCTCAGATGCAACTTAATTACTTACATTTTCCCTTGGCAGACTCTAGCAGAGGGCGCCTCACAGAGTGTAGAAGCTCATGCCATCTAACATCAGTGTTGATTTACTAAAGACAAATAGACTGTTCATTTTCCAAGGGAATCCTCCCAGTGCTTAAGGTGAAGCAAGCAGAAATACTGTTTTTTTTACATATCCTCATACACTCTTGCGTATTCAGTGCAAAGTGAAATTTCAAAAAGAAACTTACAGAAAAAGAACTAGTTGTGGACTCAACCGGTATAGGGAATTTGTGAATGCTCAAGAAAAACAAAGGAAAAGGTGATCACCTTCTCCTTTGTTTGAATAATTTTTCACGAATTCCGGTTGAGTCCACAACTAGTTCTTTTTCTGTAAGTTTCTCATTGGCTTGGTGTCTAGGGACTCCAGGAATCAGGAATACGTATTTTTGTTTGATCGTATATATAATTTTAGGTACCTTGAGACTTCTTTTTGGAAGATTTGCAAAGTGAAATTTCACCACTATCACTAATGTCTGGGGAAAATTCCCTTGCAAAATGAACAGCCTATTTGCCTTTTGTAAATCAATCCCTAGGTCACTTGCAATTGAGTAAGAGATTTTCTTCACAATGCAAAAATGATACAGTACTCTAGAGATGGACTGAGTTCTGGGACGGGTTTAGATTCATCATGTGTCTGCCTCACCTATATGCAGATTTCCTGTGCTAGTTATAAATTGATCTGAATGGGTGCCATTTTCATTTTACAGGTTATCTTGACAGGGGGTGAAAATACTGCCTAGCTCTTGCACTGGTAGAGGTTTTTCCTCTGTCTGTCCTCAAGCAGTCATTGGATTCATGGGTTGGGAATGCATCCAACCACTGCTCAAGCTACACCCCTCATACCAATACCTGCTGAATAAGGGGGGCTCAGGGGTTTCATAGCCAAGTTTCTTAGGTAGTGGAAATGCCACCAAAGGGCCCCTTCCCTACTAAAATGTTAGACCCTTACATCAACTTATTCACTGTGGGTAGATAGATAGATGATAGATAGATAGATAGATAGATAGATAGATAGATAGATAGATACAGATTTGCCACATGCCCCACCTTTTGCAAGACAGTCTTGATCATTCATGTGTGCAAAATACAATAAATGTTTATTTGCTGTTTAGGTTTCTTTTTGACATTTATTTATGTATATGGGGACAGTACTACATCTTTTGGTAAGCACACTGAATATAATTCTCTTACTTTTGTTCTATGTAAGTAGACATGCTACTGCTTTTTAAGCCATGCCTCTAACCAAGTGTAGCCACACCCAGTTTTCACACAGCAAATGCCTCCTTTATATCATTATTAGGTCTCATAGGAACCTAGTATTCCATCCATCTACAGCTTTTCATATCCAGCCATTCCTATGCTGACAGCATAAAGATGGCCATACATGGATCAACATTCGGCTGGTTTAGCAGGAATCAGACGAATTTCAATCCACTTTTCATAGACTGATTTGTTGGATGCAGCCAATTGGTTTCAATGCTGATCAGTGTATTCTGATGGTGGGGGAGTCCCTCATCCACCTCATCTGTGTGGATAGGGAAATTGGTTCAGTTTTTTTTTTGGTCATCCACCTGGCTAAATGAAACAAAACTGAACCATGTATGGCCAGCTTTTCATAAATCCGCAGAAGAAAGAGACAGTCAAAGAAGCAATGCATGAATGGATATTTCTGATTATTCACATGAGAAAAAATTAGCTAACACCTTGAAGCATTTCACACCGGCATGCGTCATGATACTGTATCTGTCTGTGCAAAACACATCAAGACATTAGTTGTTTTTCCCCAATGTATTTGTGCTTTATAGAGTATATATTAATAAACCTCTGTGCATTGAATGCCCAGATTTGGCCATTTTTATCACCCCATAAACTGTTAATCCAGGTTGACATCCCTGTAGGCAGTGCTGGAAGTCATCCCTGCCTGACAGCACATGGGAGTTACAAGGCAGTACCATGGTTAAGGCCTCTTGCTTTTAACTTGCCCTAAAATGAACTGTGTCTACGTCTACATAACAGCAGAAGGGCATCTCAGCACCAGCATGACCCACAGCTAATATAAATTAGCCTCTAAATCCCAGGGGGCCCTGGTACAGCTGCACAGTCTGTGGCCCCTGATACACAAGTCACATGCACCTCCATCCACTTGAAAAATTATTTTACCCAGTCTCTACCTTGCCCTTTGATGCTTCCCAGATAAGGCCCATGCATGTCCCATCTTGACCAGGCAAACACTGCTACCTACAGCATCAGGGAAGGCCTCATTTAACAGTCCAACCCACTCATCTGTAAAACACCTATCACCTTTACATTTTCTTTTAAAGTGTTACAAAACCCACAACAATAAAATCAGTCTGTATATGCTGTAAAGCATGCTTGTTATACTCACTGTGCAACCTAAGGGGTTAATCCTCCGCATTGTGTAAAAAAGGCTATTTCATCCTGTCTTCTCTGATCCTCCCCTTTTTCTACTGTCCCCAATCCATCTGATGATGTTACAGAGCTCTAGGAGTCACTCTGCACATGCTCAGTTCAGTGTGCATTGCTAGAGTTTTTCTTTGGGAGGGTGCATGTGATCAGCACAGGACCAATCAGCACTGTCCAGACAGAGGGTCGGGGTTTATGCAGCCTCATAGGACAGTCAGAGCAGAATGAAAATGCCTCCTAAGAGATTAACCAGTGCTCAGCTGGACACTGATAAAAGTCACAAAACTGCTCTAACTGCTGATGACGGTATTTAGCAGTTTATATTTACTAAAATAATTGCATTTCCATGTTTTATGTACTGTGGGAGACCACATATAGAGAATGCAGGGTCCTGGGTTTAGTAACACTTTAAGTGGCACAGCAACCATGGGTTACATCTTGCATTGATGACATCTGCTGAGATCTAGCCCTAAACAGCTGTATATACATTTGATATATGGCACTGTTTTTGGAAACCAGAGAACTACAGGGTGTCCCTAAAGTCTGGACACATAGCAAATATCACTAACTATATGTTTTTTTTCTTCAATACGCATTTCGCCTATGTGTCCAGACTTTAGGAACACCCTGTAGAGTGTTGTCAGGCACAGGCTTCACTTACTGGTAAATGTCCAAAACTACATCCAGCATAATGCACAATCAATCTATTTCTATGGTCTATACCATGCAAGACATTTTAAATTAAACGCCATATAATACATAAAGGTTTATGATTTTTTTTAAATACTGACAGTTTTTCAACAGTGCTTTCCATATATCAATTCATGTCAGTCTTTATATTGGGACAGTTGAAAGCTCCAATACAAGGAGAACATACTCATGCCAGTGCTAGGCTCTTAACAATACAACATCTCATATTTGGCTTGGATACATACTGTATAACAAACTTGTACATTTCCTGATGGGTCAGAATCGTGTTGAAAGTACATTATATTGCCAAAAGTATTGGGACACCTCTCCCAATCACTGGATTCAGGTGTTCCAATCAGGGCATACTGACCAACTGGAAACTCGGGCACTGCCCGAGGGCCCGGGGTCAGTAGGGGGCCCCATGAGATGCCCCTGGTACCTTTTTCATAGGCTTTTTTGAGTTTGGGCAATGACACAGAGGCCCCATGATCCCCTATTGCCCGGGGGCCCCATGAGTTGTCAGTCCGCCCCTGATTCCAATCACCTCCATGGCCACAGGCATGCAGACTGCTTCTACAAACATTTGTGAAAGAAGGGGTCACTCTCAGGAGCTCAGTGAATTCAAGCGTGGTACTGTGATAGGTTGCCACCTGTGCAATAAGTCCATCTGTGAAATTTCCTTGCTACTAAATATTCCACGATCAACTGTTAGTAATATGTACGTATGCTGAAGTGCACAGTGCCCAGAAGTTACCAACTGTCTGCAGAGTCAATAGCTAAAGACCTCCAAACTTCATGTGGCCTTCAGATTAACACAACAACAGTGCGTAGAGAGCTTCATGGAATGGGTTTCCATGGCTGAGCAGCTGCATCCAAGCCTGCAAAGTGTCAGATGCAGTGGTGTAAAGTACGTCACCACTGGACTCTGGAGCAGTGGAGATGTATTCTCTGGAGTGATGAATCATACTTCCCTGTCTGGCAATCCGATAGACATGTCTGGGTTTGGCGGTTGCCAGGAGAACGGTACTTGCCTGACTGCATTGTGCCAAGTGTAAAGTTTGGTGGAGGGGGGATTATGGTGTGAGGTTGTTTTTCAGGGGTTGTGCTTGGTCACTTAGTTCCAGTGAAAGAAACTCTTAAGGTGTCAGCATACCAAGACATTTTGGACAATTTCATGCTCCCAACTTTGTGGGAAGAGTTTGGGGACAGCCCCTTCCTGTTCCAACATGACTGG